GTAATGACTGTCCCATCCAACAGCTTGGGATAGTCTCATCAAGCAGCTTGCACCACCTGATGGGACATTCATGCATGTACTACCTCTGGTGCAAGCCAGCAGAACATGTTAATGTTTCTTATTTCAGGAATCCAGGTAAATTTCAAGTCCTTACTTATTATTAAAACCATCACCTTACCATTCTTACCACAACCATTTTAAAGCCTTTAATCAATCTCATTGCAATTTTACGAAAGCTGTGTATTTTGACTTTACATATTGATGTTTTTTAAATGCCACAATTATAGTCATTTATATTTATTTTCTACTTAATAACTGTGCAGAATCCTTTCAGAGATATTTGGGGCATCTAAAATAGTTTTTCCCAGTTTTTTTTTTCTTGGTGATTAAAGTGATACATTAGAACATTTTGGAAGGATAAAGAAGAAATTTTAAAGCACCCTCATATTCAAATCTCTGTTAATATGCAAACACACAAAGCATATTTGTAACACAGATTCAAATACTTTATATACAAATACTAATTTTTAATGAATGGAATACTTAATAATACTCTCCTGAGACTGTATTTTCTACTCTCTTATATGTAGTTACACATATTTTTATTGGCTATTAAATATTTAAGGATTTAGCATTTAATACATAAAATTAATATGTATAAGTAATATATAGTTCATACATACTTTCAAAGCCCAATAATAAAACAAGCCCACTACCTGACTTAAGGATTAGACCACTTAAACACCCTTAAAGTTGCCTTGTGTTCCTCTGCTGCTGCTGCTCCTCTCACCATGGTATCTACCATTCTCCAGTCTATGTCTTTTTTACTTTTTCACCAATTATTTTTATATGTGTGTATATCTCCAAATAGTGTGTCGCTGAGTTTTGCTTGGTTTTGAACTCTAAAAGAATGGTATCATAATGTATTACTTATAGCAGTGGAATGAATATTATACTTTAAACTCTCCTCTATTCAATACTTTTCTACTGTTGTACAAAGAAATTTTGCATTAATACTTATATGTAGTCCCAATTATTTGAAGTTATATGAGTCACTTTCTCATTACCAGGACAAGATACCTAACAATGACAAACTAGAAGAGAGGTTTATTTTAACGCACAGTTTCAGTGAGGCCACCAAGCTCAGTGCAGAAGCTGAATGGTGGAAGGGCTAGAGGAGGAAAGGTGCGTCCTTGGTGATCAGGAAGCAGAGAGAGGAGCAAAGAGCATGGGACCAGAATATGCCATTCCAATTTATATTCTGAGTGGTGCACCCCTTCTAAGTAGACCCTATCTGAATATGTGAGACTTTGGGAGGGGAGGTGGGCATTGTAGATCTAACCCATTGCATTCTGCCTCTGGCCTCTAAAAGGACCTATCTCATTATGCAGAATATGTTTAGTCCATCTCTAAGAGTTGCCAAATTCTTGGCTGGTGATTCATCTCAGTGGTGCTCCACCTGCCTCACAAGCACAAGGTCTTAAGTTTAATCCCTGGTACCAAAAAAAAAAACAAAAAAAAGTAAAATTATAAAATGGAGAACTACTTAGCCATAAAGTATGAGAAACTAGAGACATTTATAGCTAAATGGTGCACATTAAGACGATCCTCTTAAGCGAAAGGACACACGTGTAAATACCAAATAGTTTCTCTAGTGTGAGAAACTGAAAGCATAAATAAGGACTAAAAGGTATAATAGATAATGTTAATTAGGAAGAAAAGGTGAAAAGGGGAAGGGAAAGTGGGATGGGTAGGAGAAAAGAAAGAGAAGATTGCAATTAATATGAGAAGAAGAAAAAATGGAAACAAAGTCTTTGTAGATAGGGAGGGGTGGAGGGGTTGAAGGGAGAGCAGGGTAATAGGGGAATAAATAAGAACCAAGATGGATTATGTAAAGGTACAAATTTCCAATGATGAATGTCATTATATTGTATACCTTAAATGTACCAATAAAATTAATTTTAAAAAAAATGTTGCCAAAGTTTTAACAGTTCTAGCATTGCTGAAAAGTCCAAGTACAAAGTCTCTAAGCTGCGAGCCCCTATAAAAATCAAAAACAAAGTTAAACACTTAACATTACAATGGCACAGGGTAAAAACATCCCATTCTAAAAGGGAGGAATAAGGGAATTGACAGAAATCAGACTAAAGTAAGGCCAAAATCCAGCAGAGCAAACATTAAATTGTGTAGCTTCATGCCTACCATTGAGTACAGGTTATGGTGAGATGTGAGCTTCAAAGGGCTTGGACAGTCCTACTCATACTATATTACCTCTTGCTGCCCACATGGTCTCTCTTCTGATCTGGCTTCAATCACTGCAGCTTTCCTCAGCAAACATTCCATGTTCCTGACATCTCCACTGCACTTTCAGCTTCACTCTTAACTGCTTCGTGTACTGCATGGGCTCCTGCAAGAGTCTGTGACCCTGTCACACATGTTTGCCTGACCTTTAAGGCCTGCCTTTGAAATTTGGAAGGATGCCTCAGTTACCCCATAACTCTTACATTCTGTATACCTGAAAAGCTAGCATCATGTGAATCATGATGAAGTTGGCTTCCAGCTTAAGTAATAGCCAGGTCCTCTTGAACCATGGATGCTGCAGCTTCTGGGTGCTTGAATGGCTGTACTCTGAGACATACTTCCCTATGCAGCTCAAGATAAGCAAAAGTCCCAAGGACTTTCTTCTCAAATGAAAGATTTATAGTTTTACACCCGTGTATCTGCCATGGGTGAAGTCTTGCTTATTTCTGACTGCACTCAAGGCCCAGCCCTTCTGACCACGAACATTTTAAATCTAAGCCATAATAGAAGGGAATAATTTCAAGAGGTGAAATTGCTGGTTTAATAGGTAAGATCACCTTTAAGAAAACATTTTTAATAACCACATGTGGACATACATCCATGTAGAAGATTTTAATGTAATAAATATTCATATTTTCCTGTCCAATAATTATAAAGCATTATTAGCCAGCCATCTGAGTGGGCTATAAGAATTTCCCAGTGGCTTATCAAATTTACAAGTTCAAAACCGAATGTATAGTATCACTGATTACATACCCTCCCTACCATTCTTACAAGCCATGTTCTAGTTCAAGCCCTACTAATTAGTGTACAGTAGGCCATGACAGCCTCCTAACTATTCTCAAGTTTTCAGTCTCTTGCTCATCTAGTGATTTTTTCACTCTGTTGATTTCTCAAAACACAGACTTAACTCTAAAACTCAAAGTAAAAGTATCGATAGTGCCTGTATTGGTTAGCTCTCTGTCACAGTGACAAAGTACTTGAGAAAATTAACTTAAAGGAAGAAAGATTTATTTTAGCTCATGGTTTCAGACCATGGTTGGCTGGCTCCATTGCTTTTTTAGCCTTTGGCAAGGCAGAAATATAGCAGAAGGCCATGGTGAAGGAAAGCTGTTCATTTCATTGCACCCACAAAGCAGAGAAGGGGCAGGCAGGGACCCGGAACAGGACACAATCCCAAGTCGTGCCCCCCAAGGACCCACTGCCTCCAACTAGGTCCCACCTCCTAACTTCTGTCACCTCCCAATAGCTCATCAAGTTGTGAACCTACATGATCCATTATGTCTGAACACTGCTGCACTGAGTACTGAGCCTTCAACACATGAGCCCTTGGAGGCCATTCCAGATTGAAACAATTACAGTGCTCCATTATCCATTCATAAAAGCCACAGTTGTTGGTTGTAGGCAAAGCCTTTGATCTAATTTAATGTACTTCTCCATTTTTTCTGCTCCAGCCCTATTCTAGTCAGCCTAAGTTATGTGTTTTGCATGATTTTCCTTGTTTGTGTTACTTCTTCAGCTGAAAATACTTTTCCTTTCCTCTTCTTTTCTGTCCTGTTGAAATGCTACTTATGCTTCAAGTTACTCTAAAATTTCCTGCTCCTTAATGGAGATTTACATCAATAGAGCATAGTTATATGGAGATGAATGAAATTTGTGCAAAAATATATGTAATACTGGTAGAAAAAGGAGACCACAAACAAAACACATCCACAGCAATAAATAAACTATATATGAGATATGTAAGTATATATCTTTGTATGTTTGTGTATTTATATATACATGTATTTGGAGAGAAACAGGCAAAGACAGAAACAGAGGCTAATAAGAAGAGACAGAAGACATGTAAATACTTGAGCTTGGTGTTCAATAAGCCCTTTCAAATTATGTGTGGAACCAGATGGGATGGGTACTTTTATTAATGATACTTGCTAGGTCCATTTTCATTCATAATGAGGCTTATCTGGCCTTACATAGATGCCACTGTATTTGATCCAATTGTAGGCCAGGTATTTCTCCCTTTTTTCCAGTATTGCCTGGATGAACTGGGAAGGCCTGTCCCTTTGCCAAACCTGTCTAGTCACAGTCAGGTGGTGAACAGTCCTGTCAACTATAAAATGAAAATATTACACTATTGTTAGGTTAGCTGATGATCTCTAAGGTCCTTTCTAGCTTTTGGATTCTGAGGTAAATTTTCTCATGTGACAGAAAAAAGTGGTCAAGGATAAAGGAAAGTGTTGATGTTCTCTCTACTCCATTGTCAAATAGCCAGTTGCCAATTCTGAGCTGACAATATGTGCTGTGTGGAATTTTGTACATTTGGCTTCTGATCCAAGTATACCACTGTCTGTGTACCCTCAGGTGTTTCCCCTTCTATCTCTTTGCTTTGCTGTAAAATGGCAATGCTGGTGACAATCACAAATACTAACCAGCAGCAGTACAGGAAGAATTTATATTCAAATTATCACACATCACTCCATGAACATGTAAAATAATTTACATTTATTTAGAACCTTTTATCCTAAAGTACTCTACACTTATTTCTTTGAGATCTGATTGGAAGCTATATATAGGACTCTACCACCTGAAATAGAGCAACAACCAGAACTATAGATAAAGGACACAACTGAAGAACAAATTGAGGAAAGAAGGAAATGTAGTACTTTTTACTTTGTTTCTGTATGTGCTTATGCCAACAGGACTGGAGAATCCATGTTGACCAAATGCACCAGCACAAAAGTGGAATTGAATCTGCTCTAACAGAGACCAAGGTATACGAATAAACTAAGATGATATATTAAATAAATATAGTCTTCTATGGAACACCTATTATTGGAGAATATAAAGGGAAAAAATGACATAATCCTTGTCTTGCAGGAGCTTAATGGTATACCACCAGATTACATTTCACAGCCCTACTATTTACACCAACTACTAGAGAGAGCTAAATTATGTAAAAGCTATTCTATTTTAAATATATATTATGCATATATATTTGTTAGAGATTTTAGAAACATTCATTTTCCCTGAATGTAAAGGAATACAAGAACATTAGGCCAACAATGTGTAGAACCTACAGCTTTCCCAGACTTGCTACCATGCTGGTAGTGAGGGTCTTTTGGGACGTGCCACAAAAAAGCAAAGCTTAAGTGAAAAGATATTGGTCTCAGGCTATAGTTCCTAGCTTAGGAATATTGCAATTGTCTTTGAATTGAGAGCAACTCATTTTGTTCCCTTACCTACTTTGATTTAGAAATTTATATAAAGCTAATTACAATCACATCAATTTTAAATGCATAAAGACAAATGAGTTGACTAAGCCTATCAGGTCCTCTGTTTTATTTTAACATTCTGCAAAGTCTGACTAAAATATTTCTCATCATAAACTCTTTTGTTAATGAAATTTCAAATTGTCTTTTTCATATGGCTAATCCTTTGCAGCAGGGATTGGAAAATACTTAACTCATTTTTAACTATTTTTTAAAAATGTAATTGTGAATTATCTACTAAAATCCCATGGAATTTCTAGGGATATTTGGACAAACTCCATAGTGAAATTAGTAGAACTTTGGAGAAGATTGGCAGCCGAGAAAAGTACATCAACAATCAGCTTGAGCACTTGGTTCAGGAGCACCGTGCAGCACAAGCCCAGCTGAGTGAGGTAATGCGGGAATGGTTTCCAGGATCTATTGCAAGTCCTGACCCTATCCCTAAACTTCAAACACTTTTTATTTGAGAGTTGTGAAGTGCTTTTCACAAACAGCAAATCAAGTGAGGTTTATCCCACTTTCTGTATAGTGCAAATTCTTCTCCAGCAACCTTTAAACATATTTCTTTGATTTACATAAATAAGGTATATGTTGTTGGAGAACATGACTTAGAATGGGAACATGTCATCATCAGAACACCTAGTTTTGTTTCAGAATCCGGTTGTTAATGTACTATAAGAGTAGAAATTTAAAAAGGATGTATTCAAGAGACCTAGAATAGCAAAAGCCATTATAGGCAACAGTCACATGGCACCAGGACGGTTGTTAATGTAATAAGAGTAGAAATTTAAAAAGGATGTATTCAAGAGACCTAGAATAGCAAAAGCCATTATAGGCAACAGTCACATGGCACCAGGTGTAACAATTCCCAATTTGAAACTATACTACAAAGCCACTGTGATAAAAACAGCATAGTACTGGCAAAGAAATAGGCCTGAGGATCAGTGGAACAGACTGGAAGACACAAAAACAAATGCAGATGTACTCAGCTACCTCATCTTTGACAAAGGAGCTCACCATCCTCAGTGGAGGAAAGATAGTCTCTTTAATAAATGGTGATGGAAAAACTGGATGTCAACCTGCCACAGATTAAAATTAGACCCTTATCTTTCGCCATGCACTAAATTAAAATCCAAATGGATTAAAGATCTAAATATTAAAACAGAAACATTAAACTTGCTGGAAGGTAAGTTAGGCAGAACTCTGGAAGACATTGGTATAGGAAAAGACTTTATGAACAAATCCTCAGTAGCACGGGAACTAGCAGAAAGAATCAACAACTGGGATCTCATCTTACTAAAAAGCTTCTGTACTTCAAAAGAAACCATTAGCAGAACTAAGAGACAATCTA